TCTCTCTCTCTCTCTCTCTCTCTCTCTCTGAGATAAGGTCTTGCTATGCAGTTTAGGTTGGCCTTGACCTTACTTTGCAGCCCAGGCTGGCCTCAAACTTGCAGTGCTCCTCTTGCCTCAGCCTCCTGAATTTTGGGATTACAGGCATGCACCACCATGCCTGACATCTCTTAGCATTTTGTAACTCAATATTGCTCTAAGTATTTCAACTGTTTCCTTGATGTGTATTTTTGTTGTTGTTGTTATATAGTCATTCTTGCATACATATACTTTAGGATTTGCCTAAAAAAATTAGAACTTCTGAAATTTGGCATGAGCCGATAGGAAAATTTCAAGATCAGAAGTGCAGGATTCAAAAGTCATTTCAGAAGTGACAGAATGTATTTAAGAGGTAGCCTCTTATAAAGAGCTTTGTACACAGGTGATAAACAAATTCCTTAAACATTTTTAACTTTAAGGAATTCTTATGAACTGAGACTAGAAAAAAAAACAATTTGAGAACTAAACGCTCAAAAATGTCAGTTCTTATTCCTGTTACTAAATGTTAATTCTCTTAATCTCCTTATCTTTTTACAGGCAAAATCCTGAGTGATGCTTCTAAAGTTAGTAATTTTAGCCCAGTCCAAGTGGACTCTGAAAAATAATCACTTCTAATTGTTTTACTTTTACAAGCAAAGGGAAATGAAAACATTGAAAAGGATGTGGGATTTTGAGACAAGCTAACTTGTGTTTAAATGCCACCTTTGCTACAAACTAGTTTATAATTGTGAATTATTTAATGTTCTACTTCGCTTCTCTCCTTCTATAAATTAAGGAAACTAAAAACATTAAGAGTTGTTGATTTAGGGTTGGTAATACAGTCCCTTGGTAGAGTGCTTGGGTCATCCATACAAACCCTAGATACCCAAGACCACAAAAGGAAAAAAAAAAAAAAAATGGAGCTGTAGGATTAAATGATGCTGTTTGCATAAAACAACATGGTTCCCTGAATTTAGTAGTAAATGCTACTAAATGTAATGCTTTCCCCACATCCAACACTTTATATAATACATTCTGCTGGGCACGGTGGGGCATGCCCATAATCCCAGAACTCTGGGAGGCTGAGGCAGGAGGATGGCAAGTTTGAGTACAGCTTTGGCAATTGAGCCATTTAGCGAGGCCTATCTCAAAACAAAAAACTAAAAAGGGTTCAGATGTAGCTCAGTGTAAAGGCCTAGGTTCAATCACCAGTCCTGGGGGTTTGGGGAGAGTGGTAAGAGGAATGCATATACATAGATATGTATATATGAACTATATTTCAAGGACAGGTTAATTAAAAGAAGAGAAAGCTTCACTTAGAATATGCATTTTATTTTTGTCAGAAATAAAAAGTAACAGCAATCTTGGAAGGAATTAAGATTTAATAATGGATAACATTTCAACCTCCAAATGTAAAAATCAGAAGCACATCCAATCCAATTAAAGATTCACTATAAAAAGGCCTTTGTTAAAAGCACTTTGAGAGCAGTATGTTATCATTAAAACGTTTAAATATAGCCCAGCAGGGTGTTGCATGCTTGTAATCTCAGCACTCTAGGAGACTAAGGCAGAATTGTCAAAAGTTCTAGCCCACCCTGGGCAATTTAGAGACATACAAAACCCTATCTCAGAATAAAAAATAATAAAGACCTGGGGATGTAACTCAGTGCAAAGGGTTTGCTTTCAATCGCCGCCCCTTCCACTTAAATGTCCTTTTTAAAAATTCAAATTTCTGACATTAAAGGAAGGAAGTGTGACACAGATAATTTAAATACCCTGTTTGTGCTTAGTGCCCGAATTTTCCAAAGGCTTTCTCTATGTTATCTTCTATAACATCAAATTAGTTGGCCAAAAATTTCTATACACTTGAGATTATGCTCCTTCTATTATCAAACTACTTCTTCAGGATGCTAGAATATGAGTATTTTCTCTAAAAGATTTCCTTCTGAGTTAAATTGCAGGTTAATTTTAAATTATACTGCATTACCTTGATAGCAAAAGAAAAAAAAAATGACGGGAAGAATGCATCCAAAATGTTTAGTGTATAAAAACGCACTAGAATAGGATTTGGTAGTGTCTAAAAATATTAGTATTTACTAAATTATTGATTAGGGACACAGCTAATTAGCAAAGATCACACAAAAGCTATTGATGAAATGCAATCTATTGGTCAAAAGGGACTTTAGAATACTGTGACAAACACTCTAGGAGCTTATCTAGCAGCAGCAGGGTCAACTGATGTATCTTCCAATAAAAGGAATAGGCAGTAGGTTAGGAGTTAATATTAGGATCAAATAATAGATCTATTTAGAAAATTCATCTTTTTGCTTGTTTATTTGTTTGAAACAGGACCTTTCTATGTAGTCTAGGCTGGCCTCAAACTTGCTTCTGTACTCCAGGCTGACCTCAAACTCATGGCAATCTTCCATGTGTTGGCCTTAGCCTCCAAGGGCTGGGATTATAGGCAGGCACCACCACATTCAGCTTATAAAATTGATCTTGAGTCCTTCTAATCAACTTTGATTTTCTGAAACATGTTTGCTGGTGCTATAATTTGAATTTATAACTATGAT